GCCAAAAAAAAAAAAAAAAAGTGGAGTTATTTAAAGAAATCGACGGTGTTTTATATATAATGGATACAGATACACTGCTATGGAGCAGCCATGGAGCACATGCTGAAAGTAGAGCTGCAACAGTTAATCGATTTAGTCGATTAAAATCGACGATTGAAAACGTTACCAACGTTTTCGATCGTCGATTCGTCGGCTATCGATTGATTTCCCTGTTCGGGGCTCTACACGCGGCCTGAAGCACACGCTGCTCACGTCCCGCTGCGCCCGCCGTGCCCACAGGACGCATAAGCCACGCCCACCGCACGCTGCTCCCGCCGTGCCGACAGGACGCCGAAGCCACGCCCACCGCTGAAGCCGCGCACGCCGCTGCTCTCCTCCTCGACGCGATCTCCCTCACTCGTTGCTGGCCCGCCGACAATCGAGGTCAATGGTGGAATAGGTGTACGGAGCTGCAGTGTGGACCAGGTGTGTGGGGGTGCAGTGTGGACCAGGTGTGTGAGGGTGCTGTGGTGGAACAGGTGTGCAGTGTGGAACAGCTGTGTGGAGAGGCAGTGGTGGATAGGGGTGCAGTGGTGGAATAGGTGTATGGGGGTGCAGTGTGGACCAGGTGTGTGGGGGTGCAGTGTGGACCAGGTGTGTGGGGGTGCAGTGTGGACCAGGTGTGTGGGGGTGCTGTGGTGGAACAGGTGTGCAGTGTGGAACAGCTGTGTGGAGAGGCAGTGGTGGATAGGGGTGCAGTGGTGGAATAGGTGTATGGGGGTGCAGTGTGGACCAGGTGTATGGGTGTGAAGTAGTGGAATAGGTGTATGGGGGTGCAGTGGTGAAATAGGGGTGCAGTGTGGAACAGGTGTGCAGGGATGCAGTGGTGGAATAGGTGTGCGGGGGTGTGGTGGTGGAAAAGGGGTATGGAGGTGCAGTGTGGAACAGGTGTGTGGGGGTGCAGTGTGGACCAGGTGTGTGGGGGTGCAGTGTGGACCAGGTGTGTGGGGGTGCTGTGGTGGAACAGGTGTGCAGTGTGGAACAGCTGTGTGGAGAGGCAGTGGTGGATAGGGGTGCAGTGGTGGAATAGGTGTATGGGGGTGCAGTGTGGACCAGGTGTGTGGGGGTGCAGTGTGGACCAGGTGTGTGGGGGTGCAGTGTGGACCAGGTGTGTGGGGGTGCTGTGGTGGAACAGGTGTGCAGTGTGGAACAGCTGTGTGGAGAGGCAGTGGTGGATAGGGGTGCAGTGGTGGAATAGGTGTGTGGGGGTGCAGTGTGGACCAGGTGTGTGGGGGTGCAGTGTGGACCAGGTGTGTGGGGGTGCTGTGGTGGAACAGGTGTGCAGTGTGGAACAGCTGTGTGGAGAGGCAGTGGTGGATAGGGGTGCAGTGGTGGAATAGGTGTATGGGGGTGCAGTGTGGACCAGGTGTGTGGGGGTGCAGTGTGGACCAGGTGTGTGGGGGTGCTGTGGTGGAACAGGTGTGCAGTGTGGAACAGCTGTGTGGAGAGGCAGTGGTGGATAGGGGTGCAGTGGTGGAATAGGTGTATGGAGGTGCAGTGTGGACCAGGTGTGTGGGGGTGCAGTGTGGACCAGGTGTGTGGGGGTGCTGTGGTGGAACAGGTGTGCAGTGTGGAACAGCTGTGTGGAGAGGCAGTGGTGGATAGGGGTGCAGTGGTGGAATAGGTGTATGGGGGTGCAGTGTGGACCAGGTGTATGGGTGTGAAGTAGTGGAATAGGTGTATGGGGGTGCAGTGGTGAAATAGGGGTGCAGTGTGGAACAGGTGTGCAGGGATGCAGTGGTGGAATAGGTGTGCGGGGGTGTGGTGGTGGAAAAGGGGTATGGAGGTGCAGTGTGGAACAGGTGTATGAGTGTGATGTGGTGAAATAGGTGTTTGGGGGTGCTGTGGTGGAACAGGTGTACAAGGGTGCTGTGTAAAACAGGTGTATGGGTGCAGTAGTGGAATAGGTTTGTGGGGTGCTGTGTGGAACAGTTGTATGGGTGTGAAGCGGTGGAACAGGTGTATGAAGGTGCAGCGAGGAACAGGTGTATTGGCGTGCAATGGTGGAATAGTTGTGTGGGGGTGCCGTTGTGGAACAGGAGTACAGGGGTGCTGTGGTGGAATAGGTACGAGTTACGCTACGCACGCCGCGGACGCCACGACCATGCCGCGTATATGCCACGCTCACCACACAAGCCGGACACACGCTCGCAGAGCACGCCGACGCCGCGGTGACTTACAAGGGTTCAGAAACAGGTAAGGGGGACCTGTTTTAATGTTTCCTGTTTAAAAAAAAAAAGCGGCACACTGTAGAACACCAGCAGCTATAGAGGAACAACAAATCCCAGCAATAATACATTAAACACCCTGTATAATGTACTATTGCTGGGACTTGTTGTTCCTCCTATAGCTGGTGGTATTCTCCATTGCGCTGTATAATGTATTATTGCTGGGATTTGTAGTTCCTCTATAACTGGTCAGTGGTAATCTGCATTGCGCAGTATAATCATTATACAGCGCAATGGAGAATACCACCAGCTATAGAGGACTACAAATCCCAGCAATAATACATTATATACAGCGCAATGCAGAGTAACGCCAGCTACAGAGGACTACAAATCCCAGCAATAGTACATATGTAGTATAATGTAGTATTGCTACATTCCTCTATAGCTGCTGGTATTCTGCACTGCGCCGCTGTATTATGTACTATATTGCACACCACACTCTTTTTTTTTTACTTCTACCGCGCCAAGCTTGCTCCCGTGATGGACTACAATCTCACCACAAACTAGTAGTCCATCACTGGAGCCTTTTTTTTTTTTAATCCGATTAACCGATTAATCAAACTTAATAATCGGCCAACTAATCGATTATGAAAATAATCGTTAGCTGCAGCCCTAGCTGAAAGTACAGTACACAGTTTCATACTACCTCAATGTATGCATATTTAAGCATAGCTGCTCTAAAAATCAAATGTAACATTACAAAAATATGCATTGCAGAATGCACATTGCAGTAGCTTTTTGGAATTATGTAGCATCATTGCAGTATTACAAAAGAATCTCTATCTACAACAAATTAATCCAATCTTTCTTAGCCCATGATGCTAAAGATCTTGAGTGGCAGTATTGCTTCTTTATTGATACATGACAGTTAAAAGGAGAACTATGGGGTCAGTGTTTTCCCCATAGTTCTCCTTAGGGTAACGGGAGGACACAAACTAGTGTCCTCCCATCACCCTAAGCTCAGTATACCGCGAGCTACAGCTCGCGGTATACTGAGACGCCGCACCTGGAGCGGATCCCGACGTAGATGACGGGATCCGCCCAGCTGCGTGAGTGACAGCTGGCTCTGCCTATCTAGAGGCAGAGCCAGCTGTAACCGCCCCCTCCCCCGTCCGTTCCGCCAGTCAGCGCTGGCAGATCGGAGCGGGGAGAGGGGAATCCAGCCCCTCCCCCTGTCACGGCAGAGAGCCGTGACAGGATCGAGAGGTGAGGGAACCCGGTATGTGTTCCCTCACCTCCCGATCTAGTGAGCCGACCTGTGACAGTCTCATTGTCACAGGTCGGCTTAGAACTATGAGGTGAGTGGAAATCACTCATCTCATAGTTCTCCTTTAATAAGAGCTGGCACGCTAGGAAAGTGTGTTACTGCCAGGATCACCAGATGAAAATAAAAGAAAATGCCTTAACATGAAAACCAATGCAGCCATCATCTCTATGAACTAATTACCTGCATTATATTATATTTTTGTTCTTGGGTTTAGACACACTTTAAATCTTACTCTTCTTCTACACATATTCTCCTTGATCTGTTAATACCTCTTCAGACATTTAGCTTGCCTTTATAAAGTTTCTTCTGTTCTTTTTACATGCCCTTTTCATTTCAGTCTATTAGTCTTTATGTATGCTACAATAAATGAGCAAAAGGCAAACTTACAGACAGGGCATACCTTGCATTTATATGCAAGGCATGATAGCATACATAACTATATCAGAGCAATCTTTTGAATCTACATATTTGCATTGTACAAATAAAAGTATTTTATGAAAACTAATGCAGCATGTTCAGAATATTATTTTTAACATGTATATCCTATTTAATGTGAAATAACAAATAGCAGTGATGATGTTCAAAATGCAACAACCTGCAGTAGAAAATATGGATCTTTTGTGCTACAGATCAATAAAAGATTAATACTGATGGCTGCGATGGGTTAATTCACTTTCTAATGTGCATTGGGCCTTTTTAAGACAAGAATGTGCATTTTTAGTCTTAATTGATTATAAATATTCAGGATTTATATATTGATCATTATTTAGCTTTACTTTAAGCGTGACACTTTAGCTTCAGTGTGAGGCAACCAAAGTCACTGCCCTGTCATCTGCCTATCTTCACATACAATCTTCTTAGGAGCACATTACAGTGTCTAAGAATAGAGCCCCTATAACGAACAGAAAGACAACGACAGGGGTCAGATATTAGACACTGTTAAGATGGATATAGACAAGACAATTACCCAATATGACAAAAATCTGGCAAATTTTCTTTAAAATTTTGGTGCTAAACAATGAACTATAAACTGGTAGATATCAGATGACATGGTGTTCCAACAGATAAGAAGATCATCCTCAAAGGTTCACTGTTGTTAGACAGAGATTACCATCAATGTAAATGATCGCAGTGTGTGGGAGCTATGGAGTCACTGTTTCATCTGTGCAAAATTGGCTATACACAATTGCAAACAATGGGAACAACAAATGATTTTAATGAAAATAGCTCAAAAGTCAAATAGTGCCTGTTTTGTTGGAACATTGTTATGATTTTATGATTGTTTGCAGAGGCCATCTCTTTGTAGGATGAAGATTTGTTGTGTCGATAGCCAGCCCTAAGCTCACCACACACGTTACAACCTGATTATACAATCTTCTTTAGATCTACCCACAAGTATTTAATGCAAGTGCTTGCCTAAATGAGAACAGACTGATTGGATAGTTGAGGCAGCTCCTGATATTAGATAGAATTGGTAGATATAAAGTGGACTGTACAGAGATTATATGGTCAGTTGTAAGGTGAGCCCTAGGAAATAGCCTAAATAGCCATGTGTTAAACATATAAAAGTCAAACACTGCCACCTACTGCCACATCTAAAATCCATACTTGTCTGAAATGAAAGAAAACATAATTGAAAATATGGGCATTTTAGTATTTGGCAACATGGTCAACTAATCTTTTATTTATTAATTGTCAATATTAAAGCATACTGTATACAAAGTATCACAATTTTATGCTGGACAATTTAAAACTAGATAAAAAGTATAAGCTTTGACTGCACAATGCATATAACAAAGCCATGGGCCATGTACTGGTTCAGTGCACTTTGTCAGTACTCTACTGTCAAGGAACATTGCATTCAAAACACCCAGTATTTCCACATACACTATATTGCCAAAAGTATTGGGACACCCCTCCAAATCATTGGATTCAGGTGTTCAGTGAAATTTTCTTGCTACTAAATATTCCACGGTCACCTGTTAGTGGTATTATAACAGAGTGGAAGCAACTGGGAACAACAGCAACTCGGCCACGAAGTGGTAGGCCAAGTAAAATGACAGAGCGGGGTCAGCGCACAGAAGTCACCATCTGTCTGCAGAGTCAATAGCTACAGACCTCCAAACTTCATGTGGCCTTCAGATTGGCACAACACTAGTGTGTAGGGAGCTTCATGGGATTGGTTTTTATGGCTGAGCAGCTGCATCCACGCCTTACATCACTAAGTGCAATGCAAAGCATCGGATTCAGTGGTGTAAAGCACGCCAACACTGGACTCTAGAGCGGAGACTTGCTCGGTTTTGATTCTTGATTTATTTTGATTCTGTTACAGTCTCTTTGCTAAACTGTTTAGTTGTTCATTAGCAGTATTTGGGAATTCACTTGCCTGATCTTGAACATCTTCATCGCATATCTCCAGCTGCATGATTCGCTCAAAAGGCCGGAAAAGAGCCTCATTGAAGTGGAAATGGGGGGGCTCTTCCCAGTCAGTCAGCACCTCAGTCATGATGTCATGTATGAAGGAAACAGCTTTCTTAGATACACGCCGTTCTTTGTGACAAGCTGCCTGTGCAGCAGAAAAAACAGACTGTAAAATGCAGCACTACATTCACATAACAAATCTACAATGTTGTCAAGCATTGACTATACCAGCAGTAGGCAAATCAATCATTCTTCTTTTCGGGCACTATTGCTGGCCTACATTTCACCTGGTCATTTTACTTAAAATAAATACATTCTTTCCTTTTTAATTTACTCTCTGAGGAGCCACAAATACAGTAAATCGTGATATTTAAATCATGATATTTCCTCCTGCCCGTGCACCTTCCCCTAACATTTCCCTTGAGATTGAAAACACAACTATCCAACCCCCCCATGTCAAGGTCCTAGGTATCATCCTTGACTCGGACCTCACCTTTCTGCCCCGTATCCAGTCGCTATCCAAATCCTGCCACCTTCACCTTCGTAACATCTCCAAAATACGCCCCTTCCTCACCAAAGAAACCGCAAAGCTACTCATTCACTCACTTGTTATCTCTCGTCTTGACTATTGCAACTCCCTCCTCATTGGCCTACCACTACACAGACTATCCCCCCTTCAGTCTATCATGAACGCTGCTGCCAGACTTATCCACCTAACCAACCTCTCAGTGTCAGCTATCCCCCTCTGCCAATCCCTCGACTGGCTTCCAATCGCCCTAAGGATAAAATTCTAACTATTAACAACCACTTACAAAAGCCATCCACAACACTGCCCCGGCTTTATCTCCAACCTCATCTCAAAGTATCACCTTAACCATCCCCTCTGTTCTTCCAAAGACCTCTTGCTTTCCAGCTCCCCCGTCAACTCCTCCCATGCTGGCCTACAGGACTTTTCTAGAGTCTCCCCCAGCCTCTGGAACTCTTGACCCCTACCTGTCCATCTATCTCCCACTCTGACTGCCTTCAGGCGATCCCTTAGGACTCATCTCTTCATGAAGGCCTATCCCACCTCAAACTAACCACTGAACCATCACGTTCTCAAACAATTCATCCTCACACATCTACCTCCTCATGAATCACTTGCCACTCCCTTTTAGATTGTAAGGCTGGGTTCACACCTGAGCGTTTTTTTTGAGCTCCTTTTTTCCCCCGCGGTTTTTAGCGCGTTTTTCCATTCAGTGAAACACGCGTTTCACTGGCAGTATGATTTTTTCCCCCCTTTATTTTCTCTATTTTAAAAAAAATTTAAATGTAAACTTACCGCCGGCTCCGCCCCCCTGGGACGCGGCCGCTCGCAAGGGACGGAACCCAGAAGTCGGCAGCCGCCGGAGGACACAGCGGGGATCGCGGACAAGGTAAGACCTGTACGCTGTATTCCCGAGTGTGGCTTGGGGTTACCGCTTTATTAACCCCAATCCACACTCGGGAATACCAATGGCAACGCGCGGCAAAACGCCCCAAAGAAGCTCCT